ATTCTTAGTTGAAAAGGGGAAGGATGAGAAACATACACTGGTCATTGATTCACAGCAGAAAAAAAGCCCTACTTCCTTCTTCGTAGTTTTTTATTTACTCTCGATCTATTTTTGAAGAGAAGCCCCTTATCCCTTATTCTCAGCAGGTTCGCCTGCTCTGACATCTGGGACGGTTTTCCTTGTCCATTTTGTGCTATGGTTTCATTTGCAGTAGAGGTTGTGAATTATTTCCTTCTGGGGGGTTCTGCAACTTTCATCATTTGCTTCATGAATATTCAGGTTTACCTTGGGTTTCTCTGAAATAAGATGCAACATTTAAAATTCTGACCTCTTGAGTCCCTTTGCCTAGTTGTGCAAACTAATAGAAATGAAAGGAAATCTTAGTAGACCTTTCTTACTCCACATTGTTTTTAGTCTTTCATCCTAATACTTGGGGTCAGAAGCAGTGGACTTTGCAAACCCCTAAGGCTTTTAAAATCTCTAGGTTCTCCCCATTGCCATCAGTATCTTTTTGAAAAACATTTATTTCTTGCCCAAATCTACTTCTTTCTTATAACGTCTTTTCACAAAAAACTCAAACACACTGCTACTCCGGCTCTTTCCACCCATTTCCTCTGAACTACAGGGTCAGTAGTCACACCGACCTCCTTCCAAGCATAACAGAACACTGTTTCATCAAATGTTTTGCCACTGCATAACACGGGTTAGCTTTCCAGCCTGCTGTGTCTGCTTTCTCACCGCTAGCTGCTCGGCTGCTAAGCCAACGGAATGTACTGCAGGCTTTCATTCTCATAGAACCCCACTGAAGGTCCCCATATTTAATTTCAATTGTAAGAAATGGACTCTAAAACTGGCAATGGCTCAAATACGATAGAAGTTATTCTTCTCATTTATGTTAACATTCCAAGGCAAATATATCTGGTTGTCTCTTTTCTGAGATGACTCAGTGACCCAGGATCTTCCCAAGATTGTGCATTTTCCATTTCCTTCACTTTCCTCTGTGTCCAGCCAGTGGATAGCGAAAACATGGAGAAGGCCTATTTGTTTCTTAAAAAGCCTCCTCAAAATTAATGCACATCACCCCTGCTCCTGCCCTGTTGGCTAGAACTCAGTGGTATGGCCACACCTAGTTTCAACGGAGGCCAAGATACGTAAGCTAGCCATATGACCAAGGGGAAGAGGAGAATGTGGATTTTGGTACGAGTAGGCAGTTTCTACCACACAAAGTATTGTTTGGAAGGTTTTCCCTTATGCCAACTGAGAATAGGTCTTCATTTTTTCCTCTAATTAATAAATATTAGTTCATGAGATTCTTATATTCATCCCCATTTACTTGGCATTTAATTATATAGAGACCTTTTGTTTTTAAGTTGGGAATGACTATTTTCAAATTGGAAACATCATGGAATAGTTTGACAGTCTACAGAAAGAAAAGGTTGACTTAAATATTATTTTGACTTAAAAAATGATAATTTACTAATTTGCCAGTTAGAATGTAGATGTGCCTTTCTGCTGGAATTTCACTTTATGTCAATTGTAATTTTGTGAAAGACAGTAAGCCTGACCCAGATGAAATTTTTTTGGAGTAAACTCATTAGCAAGTCTTTTATTTTTGGTTTTTCAACCTTAAATGTCTTAATAGTAGAAGCCCAAAATGTTTGAGAAGGGGGAGAATTCAGCAGGAAGTACTGGGAAGGGATACAAATTCCTTAAACTTAGTTGGCGATTAAATTACGAACCTACCTATTTACTTTAAGCATAAGTGTTTCATGTTTTCATTTTGTTTCAGTAGAGACAACTCTTACAAAAAGAAAAAAAAAGTAACCAGACTGATTGGGCATTGGAGTTCTAATCTTAAAAAAAATTAACTAAAAAGGGGTTCTGGTTAATTTATGGAACAAAGAGCTGAAAGACAATCAGAGATTAGATAATGTAGCAACTTTAATTTCTGTCAGTTTTAGGGCACCGAAAGTTTAGATTCTTTTTAATATGGAAAATACTACACGTTAAGTTTGTTCTTATAAATCTTTGCTGCTGAAAATAAAATGGACAAGGGAATGAAATACGAAAAATATTTAAACTCAAGGTCTTTGGGAAACAATAACTACCTAGGAAAAAAAGAGTTAAGGATCAACAAACTACCATTGCTAATAGGAAATGATTTGGTTAAGCAGAATGACAATATCAATATGAATTATGACAAGTTCACATTAAATGAAAGAGCAAGCTAGATAACAGTGTATACACATGCTTATTCCAGCCGAAGATACTGAATCATTTTTAGGCTACTTGGTTTCATTCTCAATTTATTTGTGAACTTCAAAAGGTTATTTTTAAATGTTTAAATTTGTCTGTAGTCTAATATTTTCTTTGGAGGTCAGGTTTGACTTAAAGGAAATGATATGACCCAAAGCTTCTGACAACAATATTTTATAGCACATTTAAATGTGATCCCTTTCAAACTCAAGAACTTAACATCATTTACATATATCCATTTGGTATTTGCATATGCAATTGACATTTAATTTTGTGTAACAGTCATATTAACACTTATTTTTCAATGATAAGAAATAGGGCTGATTATTGTGTATCATCATCAGAGCAGACAGTCCGAGTGAGTACTAAAATGTGAAGAGATTTCTTACAGAAAGGTGAAGAAAAGTAACTTTTAGTCCACACAAAAATTTATTCTCTGGAAAATTAAAGTGCCATTAAAATCTCCTTGGATTAATAACTTTTAACAGTTTTTTTACATTGTTCACACAGAGGTCAGTAATTTCTTTTTGTTATACAATTATACAAAAGGAAAAAGGCACCGAGATAATCGGTGTATAGATAGTAGAAAAGAGGATACGAGAATAAAATGCAACATATAGTACATTTTCAATTACATGAAAATGATTAGATATATGCTCATTCTATAAAATAGGTTGTTTCACACACGCATCTGTTAATATTTTTGACCAAAAATGCAAATTAATACGTGACAATAATACAACACTGTTTGTAACCATATAGACATCTGTATATATTAATAAGATCCATGAATAGTCAGTCACTAGAAAATATGTTGCAGAAAGTTTAAGACCAAGGGAAATGTTAATCAGCAGTGCATATCTTCAGGTTGTTTAGTATCGTTTTGCTCACAGAGCAGTTAAACTTCATCACACTGTTACATCCATTATTAGAAAAATAAGTAAGAAAGCTCTGTAGAAATTATACTAATAAGGAAGCTTCTTGCCTCAAAAAAATGAAAGAAATAGGAAAGGAGGAAGGGAGGAAAGAAGCAAAGTAAGAGGATATTGAATAAATGAGTCCACGGATTGAGTCTTCCATAAAAATTACATTATTTTGAGAAATAAAACACAAAGCAAGAATACTGAGCAGTGAAGAACATCATGAGTTTTAGCAAAAGAAGAGACCCCAACATTTATCAAGACCCTTAAAACTCTAATAATGGTCTTCATCAAGAACTGAACTGAAAAATAATATTGATACGATATACTTCCCACATTTCTAGTAAAAATCCAGCCAAAGTTCGGCTGTCCCTCTATGACAGCTTTAAAGATTCCTCCAAATTGTTGCCACTATGTTATTTTCACCACAAAAACAAAGTTATGTCAATAAAATTTGCAGAAACATTATCATTTTGTAATGCAAGCTACTCCTGGAAAATTTCTCTTAGTAAATTTAAAGAAACATTTCTAATTTCAAAATACAGTTGGAAGCATCACCATTATTTTCTAGCTGTGCTTCAAGTAATTGTTTAAATATACTTAAATATTATGAAATCTGATTCATATCCAAAAGCTACCCTGGTCTCTCCTCACAAATGTGACATAACTGTAGAATATTGTAAATACTTTTAATATTTAGCCAAAAAGACTGTCCTAACACAAACAAGCACCATATCCCCTCTACCCTCCCACCCCCTGCCCAAAGCCTTCCTATAACCCTGTGGTATTTATTTCAGTTTTCCTGTATTTTGAAATTGCCTGGTTAAGCCAACACTTGAAATTTTTAAAACCAGTTTGAGGTTTTCTCACAAAATTTAAAATAAAAAAAAAAGACTGTGCAAGCTACGGGGGGAATCTCATTTCCAAGAGGTTGGCTTCAACTCCATTATGACCAACATCACATTTAAGTAGTAAAGGTGCCATCCTATACCAGGGGTTTAAAATACTGATCCTTTATGCTTTAGGGGTCTTTTCTCCTACTGTTGGCTATGTATTCCTTTCATCCTTATTGGGGGTTATTTACAGGAATCACCTATTCTGAGAGTATAATGGGGTTTGGTTATTACTGAAAATACTATCTGGAGGAGGTGAGGACACTCAGAAATTGAGGACACTGACAAATTAAGTGTTGGTAAGAGGTTTACAGCTCTTCCCCATCAGCCAGATATGAAAAGCAAGAAAACAATAAATTTCAAGAGAGAAGCAAAAATTCCTATTTTCTCATTAAAGAAAACAGTCATACTTAATATTAACTGCTTAGATTTATGGAAATAAGCACTCTAGCAAAATCTGAATATATAAACAAATTTCAGGAAATAATTTTTCAGTGTGTAGTGGAGAATTGTAGTTCTTCTATAGGGCATTCATTTTAAAAACAAGCGTCAGGTAAGAGGTCACAAGGAATAAACAGAAAAGTGGTAAGGTTTTTCTTTTTAAAGCAGACTTGAATATTTAAAACAAACTCAAATATCAAATAGTAATCAGAATAATAGAGAAAAGGGTGTGGAAGGGGCCTAAAATAGTAGAACAATTTAAAATATGGACTGTCAAAACTAACACTGAAATGATGTCAAAAACCTTGTAAAACTATTGCCATAGCAGTGCCTATGTTCTCATAATTTATTATTTAGGAATGTTTATGTACTAAGGGGTTGAAATTCCACAAAAAAATTAGGCCAAACTTTTGTTAGATTAATAATCAAGTTTCCTTCTCTACTCCCAACCTGTAAGCTGGAATACTAGGGTACTTCACACTATTCAAGACAGGTGTACAAAGACGACTGATTGCAAGAGTTACGAACAAAACTGCACTGACTAAACAGTTATCACACTTTCCTTTCTCTTCCATCTCTAAGAAAACCTATCTGGTCTTCCCTACTTTCCAGTCCATGTAATTAAGAGAAAGAAGTCAGGGTATCACTTTTTGATAGTTATCATTCAGATTTGGTGAACTAGTGTCTAGTGTGAATGTATAGGGATAAGAGTGGGGAAAAAGCAGGGAGGAAGAAAGAAGGAATGTTTAAAGAAAGATACATACCTGTCTAAAGGAGAGAGAAGACCAAGATTGCTACTTTCATTTTTGATACTGGATTCATAATTCCAGTCTATCAAACTCTTTCATGTTAAGGTGATATTAACCAGTTCTCAAGTTATAACCAGACCAAACACAATGATACAGGAACAGTCACAAAGTAGTCTAATTCCACAATCATATTATTTCGAATATTCAAATAACCTCATTTTTCAGTTAAAACCATAGATCTTTCTTGGGGTGAAAAACTTACAAAATGTATAATATAGTCACACAAAATATTATACCGGAGAAGAAGGTGTGGCTACATTTTCAATGAGGGAATGCAGAAACTCAGATGAACCTTATCCACAGCATTTATTTTTAAAGAGGAAGACCTGAGGCTGTTATACTAACTCATTATTTTAAATAAAAGACCTTAAGGAAGCAATCAAAGAAATAGAGATTAGAGCAGAGGAAATAGAAGCACTGAAGAGTCCAGGAATGATGTTCATCTGATGAGTGTGTTGACGATGAAGCCACTTCGGGTGATGATAAAAGACAAGAAACTTTACTATACACAAGAATGAAAGATGCGACCACCTATGGCTCCTACTATGCATTTATGTAAAGGTCAATCGTATTTCATTTAGAACACTGACGGAGATATACTAGCTAAATACCTCTGCAGACTCTTAGCCTTCTATCTATCACTGTGGAGACAGGTTGAAAGGAAATATTTGACTAATAATTCAAAGGAATTTACAGGGATCATAAAACCAACATAATAGAATTCATGTGTTTTACCAAGGAACACTTTGAAGAATTATATTGAATGTGAATGTACAGAAACTCATAACATTATAATTTTTAATTTTCATGTTGAATATCTTTTTTTTTAAGGAAGTACAAGTAAAAGATCAAGAGAATCTTAGTCTTAATCTCGCTCTTATTTATCACTATCACACTTGAGGGTCTAGTCTACGGGCAATGAAACACCGCGATCAATGTTTCCATATAATGAGCTCAATATTCTACACCAACGTATTTCAGACATTCCTGGGGAGGTAGATTCTTGGACTCCATCCCAGACCAAATCAAATCTCCAGAGGTGGGGCTTTGGAATACAAATTAAACTCTCAAACTAAATCTTACACATACTATAGTTTAGGAACCACCGTTTTAAATTTTGCCCTTGAAGAGAATATGTTTTTTGATGGGAGTCTAATCTGCATTTGTTCTTTTTAAGACCCAACTCAGGGGTTATCATCTTCAGGAAGACTTTTCTGAACTATGTGTTGTACTCCTCTATTAAACTTGATTCTGTGGCTATCGTCCCACTTTAGAACACAAGCTCCATTAGGGCTAAGACTCTGTCTATCCAATGAACTGTCTCTGCGTCTGAAGCACTTAGAATGACACACACACAACACATACTAGGTACTCTTACAAATATCTGTGAAACAAGGAAAAAGTAAATCTGCGTATAAAAAAAGAGTCATAAAAATTGGGACTTATGTAACAGCATTATTGATTTCTTCCACAGGGAATTTAGTTCAATATTTACTGTGCCTATTATGAGTTAGGGGCATATAAAGATAATAAGACAAGGTGTTAATTACTACCAAGGAGGAAGGGGAGACATGTAATAAAATTACAGTTAAGCTTTAATAAAGGGCAAAGAAGAAATGTAAATAAATTGTCTTGAGAGAACAGAGGAAGACAAGAATCTTTCCTCTCACCACTGACATGGCCAAGACATGTGTTAATGGACACAGAGTATCCGCTTTATAGGGTAGAAAGGTGATCATATACAATTAAGGTATCTTTGATTCCCAAAAGTATACAAGGAGCAGAACAAATGGATTAAAACATCTTCAGAATATAAGTAAGTATAGGATAAAACGGTAAATTGATCCCCAAGTCTTTGAAAATCAAAATCATCTACAAAGTATGACACAAAAGTACCATTTATGTCACTTAAATCACTGATCTTTTCTTCTCCTTTGTCTTGTATTTCTCTTTCCCCAAGACTGTTTGTTTTTTCTCCTTTATCTGCCACTCAGTTAAGGTGGATGGCTGTATTGATGAATATAGTGTTACCTAAACTTTTCCTTGCAACTGGTAAAAAGGGATGTAACTGCAATATGCACAGTATAGATTTTAGAGTAATGTATGCCTGAGTTCTAATCCCAGGTCTGCTACTTCCTTACTGGATGACCTGGGGCAAGTCTGCTTAACATCTCTGCTGCAATTTATTCATGTATAAAATATTGATAATATTACTTGCATCATAGTATTATTGTGAGAAGCAAACAAAATAATTACTGTGCTCGATCTTAGTAAATTGTAGTGGGTACAGATGATGTTTTAAAGTTAATTTAAAAAAAAAATGCTTCAGCATGTTTGACCTCTACTCAATACTGAGTTTGATTACTCATGACACTGACAGCTACCTCCACTACAGGCCACAGGGTGAACTGGGGCCAGTGAATGGGGCAAAGCTATGAAATAAAAACTTGTGAATAACTATCAGTGTGAAATAATAAGTATCAGTGACACATCCAGTCTATGCAGGCAAATGGAAATTTCATGCAAGTGGATTGGTGGCACTTCCATTCATACCTGGATAAAGTCCTTGAAAAAATGTGTTGGTGACTACTGTTCTCACTGTATCTAAAAATTTACATCTCCTAACAGCCTATCTTTCAGTTCACTTAAAAAATTATAACATTTGGTCTCCCATCTTCATCTTGAAGAGCACCTTCAAATCTATGACCTCTTCTATTGGTGCTCTGTTAGCTTGCAGTCATTGGTTATGCTTTTGATTCACTTGTTAAGTGAAGTGAAGATGACGGTATCAAAAAAATTATTTAACACACAGCAGAAGGCATTAGCACTAGGCTAGATGGAACTGCCCTGTCAGGCCCTACATTTAAACATGAGCATATTAATCAGGAGAGTTTAGATAGTTTTTTATTAGTCTTTCTTTCTTTTTTTAAATTGTGGTCCAAATAATTATTTTTGTCATTAAATAAAACGTTATTGAGAATTCACTGAATGCATAGTAAAAAAAAAGGCAAATGGATTTTACACAAAATGTGGATAGTACAGAAGATACAAGATCAATAGGAGAAAGCTTCTCAAAGGTAAGAGGATATGATACCACACAAATTCTTTGCTGATGTGAAGTACACTTTGTTTCCTGGGCAGTAATAACTACATTTTGCAGCTCATTTGGGAGACAAAGCCTGTAATTCCAGGATCAGGAGCTCTCATGAATGCCAGTCAACTGCCGTATTTGGACTATTTCATTTTGTTATAAAACTTAGGGGATTTTAAGAGAATAAGAAAGTGGGTTGTCTTTCTAAAGTTTCTGAGACAACACCTGCCGCCCACCAGGGGCCCCTACTTCCTAGAATTGTTGAGATATAAGATTTGCCTTTAAGCTTTCATGCAAATTCAAGCACACAGAAGACCAGGAGTACTATCTTGTTCATTAGAGTTAGTAGAGTGAGGCGGGTCTCTTGAGTCCTATTTTATCTTTTTCTAAAAGAACAGACAAATTTTGGGGAGCAACTATTCTAAATTGTGTCAATCCACAGGGTAAAAAGATATGTATTTTGTTATGTGTGGAGGAGAATGACAGCAACTAGCACCCAAAACCAAATGTAATTTATAGTAAATATGCAGAGGAGAAAAATAACCCATAAACTTGACACATGTTTTTCTATTTAGTTATCTGAAAAAGTCAGGGCACCTTCACCTTTACAAATGTGTATTCGTGTATATATACAGACACACACACATACATATAATATGCATATACACACACATACATATGTTGTGTATGTGTAGGCATGTGTGTGCATATAGATACACACATAAATAATTCATAATCTTTGAGGCAGCTGGGGTGGAAGTAGGGTCTTTCTTAAAATTTTTTAAAATTGTTGATTAATTTTAGGCCATAATGGATTTGATACTTATACCAGATAAACCCCTTATACCAAAGCACACAAATTCTGGGCATAGCCTCAAGAAAGACAGATTTAAAACAAATGACAGCTAGTTAGGTCTTTTCCTCACTGAAGGAGAAAGCACCAAACCAATCTTATGTGTTTGATTAGGCTTTGTTACAGCTACTAATAAAACTGATAACTCCTTTTCTTAGGAAGATCCCAGTTGTTACCAATGCAGTCAGCTGTTTCAAAGCTGGAAAAGATCCTTGTACTATTAAATGCCTAAATTCAATTTCGCAGTAAAATCTACACCCCCACCCTCTTCAAATCTCTTTCCATACTGTTGCTCAAAATGCTTGCATGAGATATTTTGCCATCTGATTCACGTTCTAACTTTATAACCTAACTCATTCATAAAGAAACCTGGAAAAGGCTGGCTCATTAATGTGACAATTGAAGAATGGATTTTTCCCTTTAATGCAACTCTATAACACACATTCCTAAACCTCATGTCACCCATTAAAGCATTTGTATTTTATAATTCCTGTGTATGAATGCATAGAGCTGCCATTTTTTAAACTAAAAAATATTAGGAGTTCACTGCCTTCTTGGATTTCTTTTAAGGCCTTTTAGTATAGCCAGGCTGAAGTAATAATACCTATGCATGATTTTGTTTTCTGGTAATAATGAGTTCTAGCTTACAATAATATATAATACATACTTAGCTGGGACTAGAAACAATGATACACTATTTTTTAGTAACTGCTAAATAGTATGTTTTTGTCTTGTTTAACTAGAAATTAGAAAGAGAAAAATGAAAATATTTTTCATATATATAAAAACATTCTATTTAATAAAGTATATGCATAAAATTATATGTCAGGTAAGAAGCAAAATTAAGAAGAAAACAGCTTATAATATTCCTGATTAACCAGAGTTCTTAGATAGAAAAACAATAAATGAAAATGCCTTGCCATTTAAAAAATAACAGCACATTATATGACTTTCACACACTTCAGAGGAAATAAAGATCTTGTGACACTGTTCTGAGGAATCTTTACATTTATAAAAATCGAAGGCCTGATTTTGCAAATACAACTTTCAAGCTGTATGAGCAAATTTAACTTACATGGAAGGCACAGGATGACATCACATTTGAGAAAGTATCTGTAAATTTCATAAAATCCAGTCACAAGTCACTAAAAACTTCCTAAGGAATCTCAGAACTGTTTTGGATGTTCTGATTCAAATCGAGAACTGGAGAGTCCTTATATCACAAATACAAATTGAAGTTAAGCGTGAAGAAGATTTAGAGAGAGAAGTTTCTTATTTGAACGCTACCTGCTTTATGCAGTGTTGGTTACTAAACACTCAGAGCAGATAATTAAAATTTTCTTTAACTTGAATTCTTGTCAATTTTCAACAGCTTTTCTATTGATTATTTAGTTTGTAAAAAATGTGTTTTCACATTGCTACAATTTTAAAGAGTCCATGATTGAAAGAAATTTTAAAGTCAAGTCCTGCTCTATTAGCTTCCTACATTGGAATACAAGAATACAGGAAGTGCTTTCAACAGAAAGTCACATAGTTCTACAGTACAACCTGTCTGAAAGACTTGCAAGGGACCAGTACAATGACTTGGTCTCTTTGAATCAGGCAAAAGCAGAGGCAAATGAAGAAATGAGCTTTTAAAAAAAAATAACATACAAAACTTCTGTTATGAAAATGCCCTTGAGAAGAAATGCGGCACACTGAAACTAAGTGCGCACAGGGAAAATATCGGAAATAAAGCAATTTTCAGAGTGACTGAAACCCCTCAACATAAGATCATTAGATAAGACTCACAAAAGAACTGGAGAAGTGCTTTTTCAGACTATAGAACATTATGAACGTTAGGGACAAGCCAGTCAGAACTATGTTTTATGGATACTATGTAGGGTGACACGAAAATAGTGTTGCAACTAAGAATTCTGATTTTTTAAAGCATTTGTAGTTGTGATTTTTCATGAAAGTACTCGCTCTTTTGTGGATGTAAAATGAACTTCAGAAGCATTTTTTCCAAGCTCTGGAGGACTGTGAGTTTCACAGTAATGTAAGTTTCTCATTTTCCCAAACAAGCTCTACCAGAGACACACATTGTCTTCATTTACGTCAGTACTGGATGTTCTTCCCGCAGAATTTAAAGCATTTTGGTAGAGGGCTGAAGACGATTCTTCGAAGAACAGCTCTTCCAAAGGTGACTAGGTGGACACAGTAATGTCATGATCAGAAATGCTGCTGCCTCGCGTTGTCACTGCTCGTTCACCTGCCGTCCCTCACGCCTCTAGTAAAGCATGCCATCTACACACCTGCTGTCCTTTCGACTCTTTCATTTCAGTCCAGTGATTGAGTTCCTCTTCTCCAGAGCTATTCAGACCTAAAGAAATCCAGCCTATCATCTCTTTCCTTTTCATGCTGCGTTTGTTATACACAGACAGTATGAGCGTCACATCAGAAAGTTGAAATAGGGCCACTTGAAAGACAAAAGTCTCCTTGTATACTGGATTTGGCTGCCCTCTGCGGGTGGATGTCTTGCATTTGGACATCTCTTGCCCCATGGAATTCAGGAGAGTTAATTTAACATATGTATCTACAGCAAAAAACAACATACCACAAATATCATTTGAAACAAACTCAAAACATCTTTCCTGGAACATTTGCTGAGAAGGTTGAGTATTGATACTTGATAAGGATATGGTGTATACCATGTTTAATGGAAATTCAACTTTGATTCCATTTTGATGTAGATGCTTATAAAATGTGACAAGTACAGAGAATGCTAAGGAGGCAGAAAAGCTTTTGGGGGTGGTAATATTTTACCCTACTTCTACGTTGCAGTTATAATTTAAAGGTATACCTCATAATCCTTCCTCCCCGTCCCCCCTCCATCCTTGGCCTCCCACTACCACCCTTCCCATCCCCATCCCCGTGTAGCTTCACTAAGCAGGACATCATAGCGTTAATAAACACTTAGCAAGCTCAGTTAGCCACAGCACTGCAAAGCATTCCACTGTGCTTTCAGAGACTAAGAATAAACAAACAAATAGAAATGAAGGCAAGTGATGAAGAGGAAAAGAGGAAGACAAGAATGCAAAGATGACACTGAAACAGCTTAGGATGAAATGTCAAAAAAATCTCTGCATGGATGTGGTTTTTAAATATATTTTAAAACCATTTAAGGGCCAAAATGAAGGCAAATGCGTTAAGGACTCAAAGTTTAGCAAATTAAGTAAAACTTTTTCCTGGATTCATGCAAGAGTACATTTAATGTGCTTTTTGGATAGTTAAAAGCGAATAGTCTAGGATTCTTTTTTGGCAGAATTTAATGTGAAATTTTAAGTATGGTATCTTAGCTATTTTCATGAATTACAAAGAAAATCGATGTGATGTTTAGTGTACAAAGTGAAACAACAGTTCATTGCCTGATTATTGGGGAGATAAACCCTCTCTTCAAACAACTGTGTTTTCAAATTCTTTAGACTCATGCAAATGATCTTCAGCATGTTGATCCATCATGTGTACTTCATATCAAAATTTCAATTAATTTTAATGAAAATTGCAGCATTTCTCATGAAATATTTACTCCCGTTATATGTATCAACATACAATGAGTGAAAAAAATAAAACCTTCAATTTTAAAAGTTTTGCTTATTTTATAAATACTCTAAATACCATCATCCATAATCAGAGATACATTCTAAGTTAGTTTTATTTAAAGTACCACAGATAATAAATGTGCATTTTTTTGGAAACCAACATGGTGGACAGCTTCACTGCTGGCAAGTTTTAGGGTATTTTGTTTTTGCATGAAAAGACAACATCCAATTAGCCTCTACAGGAACTCACCTCGGATTATATAAACCTGTCCACCTATCAAGTGTTTTAGACAACAGAACAGTCCATCTGACAACAGGGGGTGGAAAGCAGTAAAAGAAATAATGACCAGATGTCAATTGTTGGGTGAAAGAGGGTCAAAGGTTAGAATTAAAGAGGAAACACTGTTCACTGGAGTGGAAGAACACAAAACTTTAGCATTTTAAGTCAGGTAGAGGGTTGCACAAAAGAGTTGGGGAAATTTCATGGAATGAGAATTTTTAAGGTCATTGTGTAATCTTAGACAAAAATTACACTGTTTTAAAGGGGGACACCTTTATAATGATATCCTCTGGGTCTAAAGCACATTGAACATAGAATCATGCAAATTATCACTTTTATAAAAGACTGAATAAAAGTCATCATAGAATCATTATTATTATTAAGCTAAATTTTTGGTTGTCCATGCAATATGTAAATCTTCAAATACTTTTATTACTCTCACTGTAATATTAAATTCAATTATGCAAAACAAAAAAGAACTATCAAAATTTTTGCTCTTGCATGTTGCATTGCTTCTTTGGATAAAAATTGGATTATTCAGTCTATAACACAATTCAAAGCTTAGACGCTAAGTATATATGGAGGGTCACAATCATATAATATACATAAGACAAACTGATAAAACTGTCTTATGTTTTACTTCATGACTACTCCACTTCATATAATTACTTTTAATTATATGATTGTATATTTATAGGTTATGTTTATATACTAGCTACCTCCCAGCTAACATCATTAACCATCCTGATACTGAAAATCTCATTGTAAAATAATGGAAATTGCTATAACCTACTGTTTAACCTGAAAAAATCTACTGGGTATTGTGGATGCTAATCTTTTTTAACCTGCTCGGTATCTGACTCTGCCTCCACCCCTCTCCCTTCATTTCAGTTCTGATTAGTGTTTCTCTCTTTCACCAGAGTACCTATAGCAAGAGCAGAAAGGCAAACATATCACTTCATTTTGCAATTTTTTAGCATTTCAAGTAAAATATTTGTCAACAAATTAAGCTATTACAGCAGGAAGGGAAAACTGATGGCTTGTGGCCAAACAGAACCCCAAATAGTATTTTATCTGTTAGGGTGTTCACAGATGTTTGGATCTGAACATCCTGAGGCAGGGTGTGTGCTCGGGCCTTTATCACAGGCCTCACATTTATCCTTATCTTTCATCTATACATTTTGCTCATTTAAGTTACTTCTCATGCCATTTGACTTTGCATTCTAGGCATGTATTAATGAAGGTAACCTAAGTCACACTTACAAAGCTATTTATTCTAGCAATTGCTTCTTTCTTAATTTTTTCTGAATTTAGAAAACTCTTTCTGAATTTTTCCTTCTAAAAGGAGAAAGGGGACAACAGTAATTCCATCTGTCTTTTACGCACCTCTGTCTAATCTGAGTCTCAGTTACCCTCTGAAAACACAACCTTGATTTACATATTCGGAGCACAGACTTCGGGGAGCCGGGTCAGTTGTCCAAGGGCAGAATGACAGAGCTAATTTTGGTCTTCTGACTTCTAACTTGGGGATAGATACATTCCATGATATATGTAAGAAGCAGGGTTCCCAATACTACTTAGGGCAAACCAAGTATATTTTTATGACTTTTCACTTCAATTGAAAAAATAACTTTAAGGACATTTAGAAAGTAATGTTAATTCAAGGTTGGAAAAAGTTTCCCCTCCTTCAATATTTGATACTTGGAGTAAAAGACTTGCTTGAAGCAAGCTGGTGAGAAATTTTTAAGCAAATTTAAGGTGGCTATTATTATTCAAGATTTCCTTTCAAATACTTAGTTCAGTGCATTAATGGCTTTCATTTTAGAGGACAAAGAAGACGCTACTTTATCTTCTTTATTTAGAAGGTGATTTCTTTAGACATCAACGCACAGTTGTGGAGGCATAATGGGTGACACTCTCCCTGTACCCCATAACCTACAACCACGACCTTGACCTGGGAGAGAGGGAAGAAGTAAGAGGCAGAGGTGTGGCGCATAGCTTTCCCTTCCTAGCCTCGAGGGGAAATATCAAACTACTCCTTATTCTGCTTGTCCTGGTAAAGACAAAGCACATTCCATTTAAGAAAAGACTGTTGGCAGTACTGATTTATAATCATAAAAATATGAAGAAATTGGTTTTTTTCATTTTAAGGAAGAAAAGGGGGAAGAATACAGAAGTGTATGCATTAATTTATAGTACTGCATGCAGACAGAAAACGAAACTTTAATCTTCAGGTAACAATAGCTATATATATTCCAATCATATTTGTGGAATATTATTCACTTAAAAAACCCCTCTAACTTTATCTGGCATTAGAAGATGACAGCTACGAAAGAGATAATTTATTCTGCAGACACTATGAAAAATCAATAGTCCTGTCACCTTACAATTAATATTTTGAATTTCAAATTGTTCTACTTCCCAAATGACTGGAAACAGAAAACATGAAACAGCTGATGATCACACCAGTTCATTTTGATGCGTTAAGACTAAATGATAGGACTGAAAACCCCTAACACTGAGAATCCCGTAAGTGCAGAAAACATTAGAGTCAAAAAATTTTTTTCACTCACTGGGTGGTCTGTTTGCTGCCAAGTTTCTGAAGTGGCTGCCTTTTATCACTTCTGCGGATAGTCTTCCGGTTGTGGCATTATAAAGCAGGCCAATGAGAATTTCAGGAACAGAGCCATGTTCAAGAGACTGACATGAGGAGGTACTTTCACTACAGGACATTTCTGACACGCTCACTTGGGACTCACAGCCCTGTAATCAAAGAGGAAATCTCCATAGTATATTGTAAAAAAGATATATTAAGAGATACATTGTTAATACCATGTTTATTGGAATTGGATAGCTACATCACAATAAAGACAAGAGTTGCAAGCACAATTCCCAAAACACTGGACTAGAAATGTTGTTTTTAGAATATTTTAGTCCCTGGATCTCTTCTCATTACACAACAGGCAAAGAGATAATAGCAGATGGTTTCATAAATCCCTGCATATGATATTTTATGTACGAATCAGAGAATCAGAGAAAATAAATTTCTTAAACTTACAGGAGTTAATGAACTATTTTCTGAATGTGAAAAATTGTTGTTTAAGACTTACTGACCTTAAAAGATCGACACAGAATTAGACTAAATTACATTAAATGTAAATGCCGTAACTGTGTCTTTAAAGACAAAGATTGGCACACTTTGCTTAAATAAGCAAGACAAAATTATCTGTTATTTATAAATCAATATTTAAAACACTGAAATACAGAAAGTTGAAAAGAAAAGGATGGGAGAATATTTATCATGCACTTAATAACCAACAGAAAACTAGTATAGCTACACGAGTAACAGTCAAGGTTAGCTTTAAGGCAATAACCATTACTTGAGATGAGAAAGCACACTAAATAATGATAAAACTTACAATTTACTAGGAAGATAAAATAATTCCAAATTTGCATGAATTTAATAACATGGGCTCAAAATATAGAAAGCAAAAATTTCCAAAATTAGAAAGAGAAATAGGCAAATACACCAAGTGGGGACTTGGGCACACTTCTTTCAGCAACTGAGCAACTAAGCCAATAAATGCTTTAAGGATGTAGAAGATTTGAATATCACATTAAGTAAAAATGACCAAATGGCAATACGGAGAACACCACACCCTACACCTGTAGAATATATATACATTTTCTCAAGCACGCAGAATTTTTACAAAATTATTTCTAAAAATAAAGCAAATAACAAGGATTTTCAAATGATGTCAATCATTCAGAATATATTTTTTAATCAGCTAGAAATCCATATTATCTTCTAGTTAAGAAAAAAGTCCCTATATACTTGGAAATTAAGGATACATGTCTAAATAACCCATGGGTAACTACATTATAATGACAATGAGTTATTTGAAAAGAAAAAGAAAAATAAACGGAGGAGAATCCAATTAAGAAAAAAAGAAGGTGCAAATAACAAATATCAGGAGTGTGAAAGAAGACATCACTGTATATTCTGTAGATCATGAAGAGGTAAAAGGATAGAAAGAACAGTTTTCTTCCTGAAATGATGATGAAACAGACATATAACCAAAATGGACACAAGAAGAAATAGAATACCTAAATAGTTCTACTGAAAAAATAGTATTTGTTACTAAAAACCTTTCCAAAACAAACAAAAAATTAAAAACCTTTAGCTAAATGGCTTCACGAATTCATTCTAATTAATAATGCTAGTCTTATGCAACCTGTTCTGTATAGTAGAGAAAGAGGAAACACCCCAGTTTCCTTTAGGAATCTAGCAACACCTTAAAACCAAAACCTGATGAGGACATGAAAAAAATTACAGATTTTTTCATTCAGGAATTTAGATTCAAAAATCCTAAATGAGCAATTCAGCAAACCAAATCTAGCAACATGTAACAGTATACTTAATAGAAAAAAAATTTTAAATGTTACCCCTTTGAAATTGGGGATGTGACAATGATACCAACTATTATGACATCTAGTCAACATTGTAGTGGAGGTCCCAGCCAGTGAAGGTCCTGCTTCACTCAAGGCAATAAGGTATATTATTTGGAAAGAAAGGAGATAAAACTGTCCTTAAGTGCAGATTATATAATTGTGTACACATGAAATCTATACAGGTCCACAGATGAATTACAGCTGCATACAAATATAAAAATTTAAAACCCATAATTACTTCATGTCAACAACAAATCTGAAAATTTAAATAAACAGCATTTATTAGAGCATAAAATATATAATATCAAGGAATAAATGTAATAAATGATATGCATAGCCACTGTATATAGAAAATATGAATATTGCTGAGAGAAGACTACATGGTACTGTATAGATATACTTAGTAAATATGTTAAAAGGCTTGATTTTTTAGTATCCTCTCTAAACTAATCTATAAATTCAATGCAATCACAATGGAAATCTCAACAGGTTTCTTTGTGGAGCTTGACCAGCTAATTCTAAAATACATGTGGTATATATATACAATGGAGCATTATTCAGCCTTAACAAAGAAGGAAATCCCATTATACGGGACAACATGGATGAACCTGGAGGACATTATGCTAAGTGAAATAAGCCAGATACAGACAAATACTGAGTGATTCCACTATAGGAGACATCTAAAAATAGTCACATTCATAGAAGCAGAGAGTGGAATGGTGGTGGCTAGGACATGCGGGGAGCCTGAAATGGAGAGCTGTTGTTCAGAAGGTATAAAAAGTTTTAGTTGTGCAAGCAGAGTAAGTTCTAGAGATGTGCTGTACAACATTGTGCCTAGAGTTAACATTACTGCATTGTACACTTAAAAATTTGTTAAAGGGTAGATAATAATGTATAAATGTTCTTACCACAATAAAAAAAGAAAATAATGTACAAGGTAGGAGGCCCTACTCTACTGGGTGTCAAAATAATATGAAGTTACATTATTTAAGAAAATGTGAAAAAAACAATATAAAACTGACTAGTAGAATAGAAAGCCCACAAATTAACTTATGCATATGTAGACATTTAATTCACAACAAAGGCAGACTACAAAGCAATGGGGAAAGAATAATATTTTTAATAATAGTGCTAGGACAATTGATTATCTACACAGAAACAAATGTAAATTAACCCATATGTCAAAACATACCAAAGAATAAATTCTGAACCTAAATATAATAAGTAAAATGATGAATCTATATGTTAACATAGGGGACTATATTCATGATCTCAGTGTAGGGACAGACTTTCTAAAGAGGACACAAAAGCATTAATCATAAAGGACAAGCTGGGTGATTCTGATGAGATTAAAATTAAGAATTTCTGAGCTTCAATAGAGACTTTTAGGATGGTGAAAAAGCAAACAATTAGAAAGAAAAGAGGCCTGCAACACATACAGTTCATAATTAGCTCAAATCCAGAATATGTAAAGAGCACCTATAAATCAATAAGACAGCATAATATAAAAACAGCCGGATACTTGAACCAGTAATTTCACAAAAGAATTGCCAATAACTATTAGAAATGATGCACAACTTCATTAGTAATCAGGTGACTAGAAATTTAAACCATGAGATAACACTATACAACAAAGAAATGGGCTAAAATAACAAATGTAGTGGGGACACAGAGCAACGAGAACTCCCATGTTCTCTGGAGATAGCATAAAGTGATATGGCTCTGAAAAATGTTAAAAATACACATACCTTATGACCTGGAAATTCCACTCTTACACATACACCCATTAAAAATATGTGCAATGTTTATCAAGAGACAAAGGAGAGAAAGTCCATAGCACCATTATTCATAATGGCCTCAAACAGCAGAATGGATAATACTTTGTGGTGAGTTCATACAATACAGCAATTATGCTGTACACAGAGTAGCATACACTATACAGCAAATAAATTAATTTAAGGACTTGGAGTGAAAATTGCTGAACCTGAAAGGAAAGGATACTTAGCTTTGTAACTCCATTTACGTAAATCTCAACAGCAGGAGCAGCAATAACAAGAAAACAAAAGTCAAACGAAGTCCAGGCAAAACTAAGCCACAGTATTTCAGGTGCGTGAATAGGTTGTAAAACTATAAAGCAGCAAGAAAGTGGTTAATATCAAAGTCAAAACTGGTTAACTCTAAGGGTGGGGAGAGAAGGAACAGTGATTAGGAAGGGCATGATGGCGGCTCCCGGGGGTGCTGGCGAGGTTTCATTTCTCGACCTGGATGGTAGTTACAAAGGTTGTAACATTTTTGGTTTTTTTACACTTTCTAATGTGTTAGGTTTCACAAGAAAAAAAGTTGAATGGGAGAATTACACAATACAGGGATATAATATATACAAATTAACACACAATGACAAAAATAACTATTTAGGACTTTCTCTGAAGATTCCTAAACGGATTCACTCCACGAGTTAAAGAAAAAACTATACCATTGTTTTCTGTAACGCATTTTTAGATTAAAAAATTTTAGATTTAGATTTTTCGATTTAAAAGAATCTGAAAACGTTTTATACAAATCTTGAAGTCTGAATTTACTGTTGGCTATACAAGTGATTAAGGAGTTTTAATACATACTTGGGAACTGAATTAACTCACTGGTCTAGTATTCAGAGGGGTGACATCTCCTATTTTCAAATCTAACTCTAAACCACAGAGGAGAAAGCCAAAAGAAATATACATCTTATATTCCTAAGTCATGGGTTTACAAAACACATAGTTGGGTATGTTTTCATGACAGTTGGAGGACGAAGCATAATTTTAGTAAGTTTCAATTAGGATATATCATCACTTATGAAAATAGTGTCAAAAACATACTGGAGCACATCTGGTGCATTTGCTACATTAAGCTATTATGCCAGGAGCATCTGTTAGGATATAGTGAGACACATTTTTTGTAATAAAGTGTTTTTCATATTAACCTATTAGATAATAAGACGTGGATCTAATGTTTTCTTAGAGACAGAAAAGTTGTACTGCCAAGTATGAGCAACAAGGTCATGTGCTGAGGAAGGCCTTTCTTGCTCTGAAGGAGAACAGCCACCTTCTCTTCCCACTTTACTGCTGCAAAAATGTCCTTGCCTCCAAGACCAACAGAGAAGCAGGAGTGGTAAGATCGCTGGTGATCACATTGCATTTGAGTAAGCCCTGCTAAAATGTGCTTTTTCTATGTGAAAAGCAATGGCTAACAGAAAAAAAAACCTACTGTCAGAAAGAGTTCATTCTGAATTTATACCTTAGGAAAAGGGCTCATTTCATGGCCTTTCCACC